TTTTCTGTGTTTGTTCTTTTCTTTTTCTCTTTGATTCCACATTTCTGGGAATTTCTGTAGAAAGTATCTCCAGACCTTAGTTCCTTCATCTACAGCCTCATGTCTGTTGTTTTTCATCTTGTTAAAATCTGAGTCCAATTGAAGTTTGACCTTTTTCGGGGGCAGTAGTACTGGGGATTGAATCTCGGGGCACTTTACCACTGAGGTACATCCTTATCTCTTCTTATTTTTTTTGAGACAGAATTGTTGAGGGTTTTGCTAAATTGCCAAGTCTAGCCTCAGACTTGGTGATCCTTCTGCCTGCCTCAGTCTCTCAAGTCATTGGGATTACAAATGTATACCACTGTGCCCGGCCCTATTTTAAAAAGTTGTCAGAATTTATGTTCTCAGTCAGTGACATTCCTTTAGTATTTCCTGCTATTGCCAAGAACATTTTGGCTATCTTTTCTTGATATCTTTTCTTTTCTTGAGAATTGCCAAATATCAGGATGAATCTTGCTTGATGCATCCTGTATCAAAAGGATAGTAAATTATTATTCTTTAGAAAAACAATTTGAGTTTTGGCTCACTGTTAACAATTTTCTATCAAAAGTAACAGGAACAAATAGAGAAGGGTATATGTTTTTGTTTTTGTTTTAACTGCGTTTTGGGCTGGGCCTGGGGTTCGGCGGTAGCACACTTGTCTGGCATGTGTGAGGCACTAGGTTCCATTCTCAGCACCAAACATAGACAAACAAATAAAGGTCTATCAACAACTTTAAAAACATTTTTTTTAAAAAACCTGCATTTTTATTTGGCTTTTTAACTAGTTCTAAATGGCTTTTCCCAAAAGAAGGTCAGTAACAGTAGTCATTAATGTTTCAAAGAATGTCAGTAGTAGTAGTCATTAATTTATTTTTACTTTAAAATATGTATACCAATATTAAGATTACACTTTTAAAAGAAAAAAAAAGTGTATAGGTGGGTAATTAGTATGCATTTTGAAAATCTTCCACAAATTCTGGAAGCAGATGTTCACATAAAGTTGTGCTATAGAACTGCACTAGGTATTCTTAGCTACTGTATGCTGTTGTGTGAATGATTTTTTTCCCCCCCGGCAGTGTTTTTGACAGGTAGCGATCGCATTCCTATTCTTGGTATGAAGAGTCTGAAACTAGTCATCCAGTCAACAGGAGGTGGTGAGGAATATCTCCCAGTTTCCCACACCTGTTTTAATCTTCTAGATCTTCCAAAATATTCAGAAAAAGAAACTCTACGCCGGAAACTGATCCAAGCTATTGATCACAATGAAGGCTTCAGTTTAATATAACTTCAGAGTATTTAGTTTAGTGCATAAGCATTAAACTACTTGTGTTTTTCTTGTGGTGATGAATTCAGCAAAGTGTCAGGTACTATTATAATTCCTACTTGCAAAATGTTTAATGCTATGAGTATTCATGAAAGCCAAAAAATATTAAAAGAAAAATGAACTGTTAATATTAAACTTATTGTACAGAACCATGAATTTTTCCCCATCTTCCTCATGAACATACAAATATTGTGAATACATTAAAGTTTTACTAACATAAATTTTAAGAGTTTGCATATTTCAAGAATGATCTGTGAGTGCATGGAAATGTTGCTTAATTTTTCTTCAATCACTGGGTGGAAAGCCTTTAACTTTGGCCTGAAATAGTCATTTGATTATTTTTTCATTTTGTAAATAATGTTAAGTTTTGTAATAAAATAGTTATGTTCTGATACCAGTACAGTTTCTATGGTTGTAATTGAACTGAGCTGACTCTTAAAGGTTAAAAATTATGAATTAATCTTATCTGAGCTGGGCATATATATAAAACTCAGTGTTAGAGCACTTGCCTAGCATGTGTGAGGCCCTAGGTTCCGTTGCCGTTACACTTTTTTTTATTTTAAGCATGTTTCTAACACAGTGTTTTTTTTTTTTTCCTAGAATAAATGTCTGTGCAAACCTAAGTTTACAGATAGGAGTTATACTGAAAAACTCGTAGTTCTGCCCTCTTTTGTGAATCTTGAGATGCTGATAGATGGGAGGTTATCAAAAAGCTTATTTATATTTAGAAATGGAAGAACTTTGTCTCTATAGTTGCCATAGAGAAACTTTGGCTAGTAAGAAAACCAGTCACTGGATTTTTAGCTTCCAAAATTATTGATTCTGTGGGTTAGTATTAGTCAGAATTTTTTAGTACTTAAAAACTATTTCCTTGAATTTTCAGAAACAAATCTTTTTATGGTGCTGATGCTTAGTTATCTCATGTCATTAAATTGTAAAAGCGAGTTGAGTTGATGCAATACATGTGACTTTCTGCTATAATGCAAATATTTATTTTTAAAATTTATAGAAATATGCCGTGAAAACTGTTTAATAAAGAATTTATTGGTTTGATATTTAAACTTTCAGTGGTTCTCGTAAGATTCAAAATTCTTCAAAAAGTGGGCTCTCAGGGAGTTTATTACATCTGAGTTGTTCCTATTCCTTTATATTTGTTTGATAGAGGTCCAGTCTCTTTATCTGTAATTCCAAAATAAAAAAAGACGCTGAAAATTTTTTTACATTTTATAACAGACCTATCAGAACTGTTGGCTATTTATACTATTCACCAGTTGGGACTAGGAACCCCTGCAGAGTACTGCATATTTGCTAAAATTCATAATTCCAAAATACAAGCACAAGGGCTTCAGTAAGGAATCACGAGACCCATACTTTTCAGAAGTTTAACTTAAAAAAAATACAAAAAACTATAGGTGTCTTTTATAGGTAAAGCACTGAAAAACAATATTCTCAAGGTGATTTCCTTGAGATGGCATTCTTTCCTATGGGAAATTTTTTCCATGTACCTGGTAATTTCTCTGCACCCATTCCTTGAGGGTGGTGATTTTCCAAATGCAAACTATGTGTCAGGTGCTTTTTTCATTAGTAACTTTTGTATGCTATGAAGCTCATCTGTGAAAAAGCAGCCACTTTGGATTAACACTGAGTTCTGTATCAAGAACATTGCAGTTTATCTGTGATCACACCTGTACAAAGCTTAACTTGGGTAAGTGATAACTTTTTTCTCCCTCAGTTACAGTCTGTAATATAGCAGCTTTAACATCAAGAGATTCATGATTAAACAATATGCCATTGAAGATTTTTCAAATTGCTATTTGTTTTATAAAATTAGGAAAAATTTCCTTTGCTTTGTAAATCAGAGTAGCAGGTAGGTAAATATTGAATTTGTTGTCATAGACTGGTTATTGAGTTAGCTAAACTTGAAAATACTTTTCTCTGCACACAGATGTCAGGGTGGTAGCCTTCTTACAGGATCCATTTATATAGTTTGTAGTATCAATGTTTCCTAACAAGATTTTTGCCCTTACAGATTTTTACTGTTTAGCAAAAGGTCCAGAATCAAAGTGAAATTATACCATGAAGAGCATAGGTAAACTTGTCTGAAAGCAAGGTAGAATATTTCCTCTTCTGAGCCCCGTCTCCAGCCCTTGTGCATTTTAGCTATCCAAAGCTCCTTGTGATAGTTTCACTCACCTCCTCTGCTAAAGAATTCACATATCCTTAGCTCCTTGCGCTTGCCAATGTTTGCTTATAAGCCCAATCCTCTCCCTCCCCTGGTGCTGAGAATTGAACCCAGTGCTTCACACATGCTAGGCAAGCACTCTACCACTGAGCCACAGTCCCAGCTCTCAAATTTTATTTCAGAAAACAAATGGAGCAGACAGGCTTATTTTGTGAGAATATTTCCATTTCAGACTGACCTTAGAAAGAGTGTTAAAAGTCAGAAAGGCTGGGGTAGGGTCATAGCTCAGTGGTATAGTACTTTCCTAGCATGATTGTATGAGGCACTGGTGTTTGATTCTCAGCACTGCACTGTTTGTAAATAAAAAAATAAAGGTCCGTTAAAAAAAAAAAAAAAACTTTAACAGTTCTATTTCTTTGTTTCTCAAACCTGACTATACTTTTGAACTACCTGGGGGTGCTTTTTAGTACAAGCCCTGCTTTGTGCCAGTTAAATATGTATTCATATACCTAGGAGGGGAGGCGTTCTAAACTTCCTCAGGTGAGTATTAATTACCGGTCTAAAAAGGAGACCATTTCTTCATCACTGAAGTATCCTGCTTTGAGTGGTTTATTTAGATCTTTGTCCATTTGGTTTACACACTCCTAGCTTATAGGTTTAGGAGTTGAGACTTGTTTCAAATAAAACTGCACTAAGAAAAAAAAGAAATCTATCAAGTGAAAGAGTATATACAGAAAACTAAAATAGCTGCTAAGTCATTGATACTTTCCAATCTATGCATATGTGGAATGTCAGGGATTAATAGGGGATTAAGGCTAATTTCTCTAGGGCTGACAGAACAAGGGCACTATTTTTATTAAATCTGCCTAGCAAGTTGTCTGGGGAGGAAGGTATGACACCTGAGAACAGGAAACTGCCACTCAAGTCTTTATTCATTACATGCATTCTAATGCACATTTTTCAGCCTCTTAAATTTAAGTACTGTCTCAAAAACTTCAATGGATTGGACTAAGAAGGTTCTGTGGTAAACCTCAAAAGTTGATGTGGGCTATTGGGCATGATGTCATATGCCTAGAATCCCACTTGGAAGCTAAGGTAGCTTTTGAAGGATAACCTTGAGCCTAGGAGTTTGAGGGAAGCCTAAAAAGAGGTTTTAGGACAAACCACTTCTTGGGGAGGCGGTAACTGGGGATTGAATCCAGGGGCACTCGACCGTGGTTGGGTTCACACACACCTCATCACTTTTGCTTTTGAACTCTCAATTCTCCTGCCTCACAAGCTGCTGGGATTACAGGTCTATGCCACCACTATGCCTTAGACAACAGTTGAAATACTAACTTTTGGTGATAGTACAATCAAGCACAATCAGTACAGGGCTCAGTCAGACTATTATAAATTGGCAGGCAGCATCTAATACACACAGTCCTCAAAGCTGTATAAATCCTGCAAAATTTAAAAAAACAATGTAAATTAACAGGAAAAAAGTCAAATGACGATTTTAATAGACTTTAAAACAGTGTACAAGTATAAAACACTGGTTTTGTATTTCAAAAGTTGGAGGAAGATATCCAGTCATTAAACAGTCTACAAAACATATGCCAGTAGATTACATAAAAGACTATGTACAATATAAAAAGAGCTGAAAACAGTCTTCACTGTAAAAATAATTTAAAACAAATTTTTCAATTTAAAATATCATCTATAAGCACAAACACATCATGCAAATGGAAAACTAAATATACTGCATTCTTTAGTGTAGCCAAATAAGTTCAGATTGAGACATCTTTTAGGTAGGGAAATGGCCATTCAATATAATTTTCTATTCTGGCAGTAATGGTCCTAGCTGGGTATTTTATTCATAAAGAACAGCTATGTTTCAAACCCTCTTTATTGTAATAAATACTAACCAACATAAGAATATAATTTGGGGGTAATGTTCAAAAAAAAGTTCTGGAAAATAAATGTTTTCTGTGACTTTATAAAATAGGAGAAGCTTCTGTAGTTGAAAAGTTGATCTCTAGTTTTAAGGCAGGCTAAGCTTTTAAATAATGTTAACTAGTTTTTTATTCATTAACTATTCTATTACAAGTTAAAGGTTCCTCCCCATAATACCAGGCTAGCAGTTTGGTATTCGTCACACCAAATCCTCCCAACAGGAAACATGTACTTTCTGGCTGAGTTGTTATTAACATCTTATTACTTTGGAACTGTAATCAGGGACCTGTTGTTTCTTCATTGATGGAAAAACAGCAGTCCAGAATATTACACTCTCCCCAGTAGAAGTACCATTATTACAGATTCAGAAAGGCTTTGCATATTCACATCTTGGCAGTTTAATACTTGTGGAAAAGGATCAATGCCAGCTCTACCACAGTGATAGGTACTTAAACAACAATGGCAAATATTTCAAAACTAAGGAGAATCCAGGCAGGCACTATTGTTTCTAGAGCAACTGAAACATTTCCAAAGCATTCATTTGTTGTTTTTTTAGGTTAGTTTTATGAGCCAATATAGACGTCACTACATGTCTGAAGGAAGTACAAAAGCCATCTTCAATTGAACAATAAATACAATATTCCTGAAACTCTTAGCACCAAAGTCTTACTTTGAAAAAGTAATGACAACTGAGTGCTCTCCCAAATATTTCTGACCTTCTACTTACATTGCATGTCATTTTTAATTTTAAAAAAGTTAGCTGCCATAAGTCTTGGAAAATGCCAGTGTTTAAAAATAGGTAATTGTGCTAAAGAATCAAAAGTTCAGCAGAACAGATATTTTGAGGACTTCAAACCATTCAATGTTACAAAGAAAAGCGTGAAATAACCATTCTTTGGTCTAGATAAGCTGTTCCCTTTACATTAATTTAACATTCCAATGGCTTTTTGAAAACTTTAAAATGTTGAAACTCACTAGGCAAAAACAAAATTATACATACATACAGATGTATCATACAAATGAAACTTTAAAAGAAAGTCATGACCAACAGCTGACTAAAGATACTTAGTACCCTTCTTTAAAAAGTTAGTGTTGAGTGTACAAGTACAGGAATGGAAGTTAAAAAATTATCCATGAAAAAAACAATCTACTTGACCAGTCTATAAATATTACACCTTCTGTTTTCCTTGCTCTATTGAGTTCACAAGTAAACATTCATTTTGACATGCTAAAGTTCCTAATGCTGGTGGAACAATTCCTGTACCTGGACAATTATTACATTATGATTTGTTTGCTGGATAGTTAATGTCTGTTACTTCCTGTTTTATGGATATAGCTTCATTAACTGCCTCTCGATCGCCTCCATCAGATGCAAATCCAGTTCCTCCAGCTCTTTCCGGAACATCAGCATCATCTTCCAGGCCATTGTAGAATTCTTCAATTTCACTTTCATCTTCCATGGGTTCTTCTAAACTTGGACTCTGACATGTACCACTATCACTGTTACTGCCACAAGAACTAGAGGATAAGACGTCATCTTCAGAGTCTGAATATACTTCAGCGCCATGGAAAATATAACGATTTGGTGGTAAAAACAGGTATTGATTACCTGAAATATAGTAATAAATGAAATGTTAGACTTAATTCAGTCTAGTTGGATAGTCTGGAGTCCAGTGTAGGTTCTCTCTGCCTTTTATCACTAGACTTTATAATTTTGTTTTAAAGTAAGAACTGTGAGTCCTGGATTGAAATATTAGTTCTTTGTACAGGTAGCTGTTTCTTCATGTGAAGAATGAAATAATTTTAATCCTGATTTAAAAATGAAAAGAGAAATCATTCAACAATTCCTTTTTAAGAAATTTGAAATTAGATACCCAATTCAAATTCATTAAATAAAATTTCTCTAAAGCACGTTTTAGAAGTATTTCATCTAACATTTCCATTTAACTTTTTCCAGCCTGCTACTTAATATACTGTGAATATATATCTTCCTCTCCCCACCATTCAGAATGCAGTTTGATAGCCCCACCGCCCAGTCTAAGAAACCTGTACTTTTTTTTTTAGTGCTCAGGATTGAACCCAGGGCCCCCAGAATCTCAGAGTCCTGTAGATATAGGTTAATGACGAACGTTAAGAAGCTCATTTCCTCCCCTTAAGCCATGGACACTAGGTCAAGAAGAACTCCTTAAGATGTGTGGGGGTTTTTTTGTTTTTATTTTGTTTGGAGATGGACAGAATGACTTTTTATGTGGTGCTAAGGCTCTAACTCAGTGCTTCTGCTAGACAAATGCTGCTCTGCCACTGAACCATAACCCAAAAGTGATGTGACAGTCCGCTACATATTATGAAAAACACTTGTCAGTATTAATTTTCATGGCTGGAGTAGGAAGTCAAGTACTTTTTATTCCAGTGGCAAGACAGAAAAACCCTAGCAGCACTTGGGTCATGTTCAGTGTTTATTTTTTTATGTGCAAAAGGAGGCTTTTGTCTGCTCTTGTGAATTAAATGGTAGGAAACAAGGAGCCTTTAAATGGGTCCCAGCATATGATTATATTACACTTTGTTTCTATAATTTTAGCTCTCATGATTTAAAAACATTATATTCTGCCCCTAGCCTCACTGAAGAACTGAGGAAGTACTAGTTACCAAGACTCTACTTCTAGTAGAGTAAAATCAAGTATAATTCCTGGGCAAAGACTTATGTATGACCACGAATCTGGCAAAAGATCTTCAAGGAAAATTCCAGTGCTAGACTTCTATTTTAATACTCTACTAAAAAATTAGCCTTCTAGCCGGGTGTGGTAGCACATGCCTGTAATCCTAGTAGGTAGGTAGGCTGAGATAGGAGGATCTCAGTTCAGCAACTCAGTGAGACCCTGTCTCTAAAAGGGCTGAGGATATGGCTCCTTGGTTAAGTACCCCTGGGTTCAATCCCCTGGTATAATCTAATCTCCAGTAGAACCTACTTTTTGTACCCACTAGTTAACTCTGATCTGCCTCAGCATCATTTATAACTTATAGGGAAATGGCCCCAAAACAACTTCAGGTGAACTAAAAATTTACTAGAACACAATCTCCATACCATCAACAAGTTTTATGTAAACATGTATTATGTTTGAAGGTGTGCAAAACTGTTAGGCCTAAGTTACAAGCAGATATCTATTTTTACATTGATTAAATTATGACCTTCCCATGTGTGCTGCTTCAACTAAAACATCACCCTTCAAAAAGCAGCTTTTCTCACTTGTCAAAAGGATAGATGCTATTCTGGTGGAGAAGAATCATATGTTTTCCAGATCTGAGACTGTACATTGTAGTGGTTAAGAGAGCAGCCTCCGAGGTAAAAGACCTGAAATACAATCTGGCTCTGTGTGCACTTCCTAGTTGTTACCTTGTATGATGTTGTACATAATCCTCTTGGTCTTCCATTTTCCCACCTGAAACAGGGAATTAATAATACTTCCTACCTCATGAGTTAGTTTAAAATTAAATGTTAGATATGTATATGAAGCAACTGACCCACATTAAGCATACAAACAAATCATTTCTACCAGTTAAAAGAGTTTTCAGTGGCAGAGTATATAATATAAACCTATTCTCAATATTTATCTTCCATTTTTCTTCCCATCTCCTGGAAAAACAACATATACCATACCATTAAAAGCAAACACTCTTCACTCTTTCCTGTATTATGTAAGATACCACTATATTTACCCGTCTGTGACTTCTGAACTTAACACAATTTTCAATTCAACTATGGAAAGCTACCCAAATCAGGGCTGGGGATTCAGCTCAGCAGCAAAACACTTGGAGCTTCCCCAATCAACCAACATGCCAAAACTGCTAGTTTGTCCCACAAAAAAAAGCTTTATAATAATCATACTTTCCAACAAAGTTTCTTACCATCAAGCCGCTTACTAATTTGTTCTTTTGCAAGTCTGTTGGGCCAGCACTTTCTCACTGTCTCAGCAACTGAAGTTCTTTCACCTTTCTCACCAGTATTGGAACCAACATCTTTCAAATCTGGATTTTCCACATTAACACACTCAACATTTCTAGTAGAAGTCTGCACTTCCTGTGATTTTTCTTCCACACAACTCTTTGATTCAGATACATCCAAATCATCATTAGTCTTTGCTGTTTGGTTTAAAAGTGTAACAATCACTGAAGAATCTGGTGGTGAAGTTCTTTCTGGTGAACTTGATTCTTCTGAAATATTTAGAGGTGTTGGTGGTAACTCTGATAAATGGACCAACTCTTTTTGTGTTCGTGGAGGTTTTTCGGTAATTTCTGAAAGCTTTACAGGGTTACAGCAAAGTTTGGCGTATTCACCACCTAACCTATGACACAATTCATTAATTATGACATCACAGTCTCCAAGAAGTTCTACATCAAAATGCAGATGAGGCAGAGGTTCCCTATTAATTAATATCTGAGGCACTTCGTGTGGTATGGAACCTAAAAACAGGGTAAAAAGAAAGTTAGGAATTGAAGGTGAGCTAATAAAACCATAACAAATGCATCCTGCAAAAAAAAAAAAAAGCCTGAATTCCAAATAAAAAAAAGATACCCTCCACTGATACTTGAAAAGTCATTACATTTCATCAAAAAGCTATCGAGGGCTGGGGTTGTGGCTCAGCAGAAGAGCGCTTCGAGAGCCTTAGTTCAATCCTCAGCACCACATTAAAATAAAGGTATTGTGTCTAAGTAAAAAGTAAAAAAAAGATATCGAACAAGTGAGAAGCATTAAAGCATCCCAGTTTCTGATCTTGCCAGGTTGGTTACCTCTGAGCAATCTTGTAACTTTCCATTCTGACCTCAATTTCCTTCTCTGTAGAGAATGGGAATAATGTCATTACTTAATTCGTGGCACATAGGTGTTTAGGTTACGTTGTACTGAAGTAGCTCCTGATACAAAGGTTAAAAGCCATACAGACATATTCTACACTACTTACCAGAAACTTTTACATTTTCAAAAAACCATATCTGCCTATTACCCCACAGGCACAAGCCTGTAATCCTAGCGTCTTGGTAGGCTGAGACAGGAGAATTCCAAGTTCAAAGCCAGCCTCAGCAATTCAACAATTTAGTAAGACCCTATTTCACTAAATTTTTAAAAGTGGGACTGAGGGCTAGGGTTATAGCTCAGTGGTAGAGCGCTCATCTTGCATATAGAAGGCAGTGGGCTTGGTCCTCAGCACCACATAAAAATAAACATTAAAAAAAAAAAAAGCTGGGCTGAGGTTGTGGCTTAGTGGTAGAGCACTTGCCTTGCATGCATGGTGCACTGGGTTCAATCCCCAGCACCACATAAAAAAAACTAAATAAACAAGGGTATTGTGTGTATCTACAGCATTTTTTTTTAAAGGCACAGGAGGATAGTTGAGGATGTGGTTCAGTGGTTAAGTGCCCCTGGGTTCAATCCCTGGTACCAAAAATAAATAAATAAAGCATTTAAGACAGAGAAACCCAGGTATGGTAACTTGGGCCTATAGTTCCAACTATTTGGGAAGGTAAGGCAGGAGGATCACTTGAGCCCAAGAGTTCAAAAACAGCCCAAGTAAGAAAGTAAGAACCCTATTTTTTAAAAGAAAAGAAAACTGGGCTAGATGTGTAACTCACTCAGTGGTTGAGTGCCTACTCAACATGCATCAATCCCAAGGCCACAAAAGAATGGGGAGCTTACACTACTAAATTACGTTCATTTAATCACAAATCACCTATATTCTACTGCACAAAGATTTCACAGCTATTTAGGAAAGACTGAGTTAAGTGATAAAGCCACCAGATGTAAGACAAATACAGAATTAAGGAGTTTGACTCATGTTTCTTGTGCTTACATATTTGATTTACTGATATAAAACCATTTAATTCTCTGTTTTGGCGTCTGATTGTCTGCTCTTGTCCTCCCATTTATAAAAAGACACATCTGATGTATTTGAAATATCCTTCTCATTTCCCTGGCTTCATTACAGGAAAGAAAGAAGGTAGTATGAAAGCATGTTAAAGAAACTTCCCAAGAATAATAGGGTCTTGAATTACATGGAAACTTTGTTAAACACATACACACACTCCTTGGGTTTATGTAAGCTAGAGCCATGTACTACCATTATGACGTGCCATGACTATCATTACTATAAGAAGAGACTATCATTTTGAATCCCTAAATTCTATCTTACACAAGTATATTACACTTCTAATAAGTTGTGCATTTGAAAAGTGTGAAAGGTCAAAAACTGTAATATCATGGGCTGGGGTTGTGACTCAGTGGCAGAGTGTTTGCCTAGCATGTGTGAGACACTGGGTTCGATGCTCAGCACCACATATAAATAAATAAAGGTCCATTGACAACTAAAAAAATACTTAAGAAAAAAACTAATATCAATACAAATAATTTCTTAAGTTTATGTAAACAAATCAAAACTAAACTCTGCCACATTAAACACATTGCATTAAAAAGTCTAAGTTGAAGCTGGGTATAGAACAGTGGCACATACCTAGAAATCCCACCTACTCTTTAGTCTGAGGCAGGAGGATCACAAGTTTGAGGCTGGCCTCTGCAACTTAGAAACTCTGTCTCAAAAAAACTAGAAATATACCTCACTCAGTGCATTTTCCCTTCATCTGGATTTTCCATGAGTAAAAACTAAAATTTAGTATTCCTTCTGTTTTGATATCCCCCAGCCCTCAAATAACCCGCATAAACAAAAATATAATCTAAAAAATATAGCTTAGCTCTTTACTACTTTCTAAATAGGAAAGTGGTAAGATCACCAGAACCTATTATAAGATCCATAACCTGTGGTATCATATGCAGAAAAACTCCTCCAAAACCGTCACTAACTTACTTGGAATTAGTGCTACTGGTCTTACTTTCAGGGAAGACCCAATAACAATAAGAAGATCAACTTCGTCTTTGTCATACTTCATGGCTCTATGAAACTGTTCTGGTAAATTTTCACCAAAAAAGACAATTTCTGGTTTCATGATAGCAAGTGGTTCATCAGCTGGGCACCTAGGACATCGAGGAACTACCTGCATGTTCCAGATATGGGTTGAGATAAAGTGAAAGAAAGTTCCAAGTTAGTAATAGTCAATATTTCCACACTTTTAAAAAAATGCATTTCAGAATTATCATAGAAAACAGAAAAGCTGTAGAATATATGGTAGGGAAAATTGGATACAATCTAAATGTCAATTTTAAGTTTACTGATACACAATATTTTTTCACAGTATTTTTATGTTTTGAGGATTACCACAACTCCTTTAAAGGATCCAAATCTGACATCACTAAAAAGGAGAGAAAGGAGAAAAACTAACATAGCAGCTTCTTACTTGTGACCTGGGTTTTTATTTTAGGCTTATATAACAAAGGAGCCAATTTAATGATTTCAAGGTATTATTGTATTTCATTAGAATTCCCAATGGCAACACTTTCTTCCTGGACATTTCCCTGTCTCATAATATTTTGCAGTGGTGAAGGGTACTGGTGGCTAAGGAAGAACAGATCAGAGATGAGCACATTCCTAAAATGTGGGTGATTAATTACCTGATTAAAAATATCTCCTCGTACAGCTTCACAGTCAACTTTATATTTACAAATCAGGCAAGATGCTGTTGCAAAGGAACCTAGAAGCAACCAACATGTATATGGTTTATTAAAGTAATATGTTTCTTAAACATAAAGTTTAACACTATAAAAGTTACAATTTTAAGAGATTCCACATGGAAATTTAGAGAAAATGAAAAAAATACACGTGATACACAGAGACAATTCAATCCTCAGCTGTGAAACACAGGTGTAACTGTGTCTTCTAAAATTAACTCCACCAGTGCTAAAACTCTTCAGGACATTAAGGTTCCGATTTTAATATCTTAGTTCAACAGATGTGTTTTAGAAACTTTACAGAAACAATCTCATGTTACTGCAATATCTTCTAAAATGAAAAGTATATTAATATTGGTTGGGCACAGTGGCACACGCCTATAATCCCAGTGACTTGGGAGATTGAGATGTGAGAATGAAAACTTCAAGGCCAGTCTCAGCAACTTAGCAAGGCCCAGTCTCAAAATAAATTTTTAAAAAAGGGCTAAGGATGCAGCTCAGTGGTAAAGCACCTCTGGGCTCAATTCCCAGTACAAAAAAAAAAAAAAGTATTACTATTTGGTATTATACTTCTGATTTCATTATTTTGCATTCTATTTTTCTTAGATTATCTTCAACTAATCAGATAACATGTTAATGATGTTTAAACTCTCATTACTGGAGGGCAGCTTGCTTTCTAATGCTGTTTTTTCCTAAGAAACTAAATAAATTACCAAAAGCCATTTTGAAGTGTACTAACCATGACATTGAATTATCCTTTGGATTCCTGCAACCTGTTCCAAGGTATCTATATTCTGAGTATAGTTGCGAAGTAGTTTTCCTTCCTTATCTGACAAGGCTATGAATTTGTGACATAGAGATGGTTGGAACTGTCCAGGATATATTTCCTACATAATGCAAAAGGTAGAAAAAGCTAATGTTAATAAAATAATTATAACAGGCATCCTGCTTAGGTTTAACAAAAAACTACCATTGATAATTCCCCATATATAATTTTAAAACAAAATACATGAACATTTTAAAGCATCTTGATGGATGCAACACACACCTAGAAAATGGATTTTTGCTGTAATATGTATAAAACTCAGCAATTAGTGAACTTGGCCCCTTGAAGAAATGATCAGGTTGACCCATAAACATGACTAATAAATGACTCCTTAGGATATCAAATTTTGCTGGCTGAAAATTTTGTTTAAGGAAAAAGGGGAAAAGTTTACACTGAAATTACAGATATCAAAAGTACGGTGACTTTTTAAAAAACTAAAAAGAGGGCTCTGTCAACATACGAATATTTAAAAAAAATTTTTTTGATTCATCATTCATTATAAATATCAACCTGTTGGAAGTTTAAAGCTAAAGTTTTAATTCCTTACCAAAATTGTTTTCCTTCCACTGCACAGGCACATACTGGTATAGTATAGAGTTGCTCATGAATGCTGAGTTGCTGGATTTTGTGTGTGTGTTTTTCCCCCCAAATAATGCTTCAATGCTGTTTCTTCTTTAAAAACAAAGAATTCAGATATACACATGGCAAAAAGATCAGAGAAAAAGTATCAATTTTGGTCCTCCCAACTTTTGACAGTGTTTTTATTCAATTTCATTTAGTAAGTGACTATGGCAAAGGAAGTTTCTTCTCTACTTTTTCTTTAAAGTAGTAGCACTATCATCTACTTACTTCCTTACCATTCATTACAGGCTCTAACCCATTATAATGCTAGCCAAAAAAAAAAAAAAAAACTAGACACAACCATACATCCATCAATAGGGAACTGGTTGTGTAAATATAGCACATCCATAACAGTGGAATATGCAGCCATAAAAAACGAGGGAGACCTAGATGCACTGACCTGGAAAATGGCCCATAACATGTAGGGAAAAAAAAAAGTTAGTCACCAGTGTGTATAGTTTTGTTTTGTTGTTAACTGAACAAAAATGGAAATTTATGTATATACAGATAGGTCCATAAGAACAAGCCAGGAAGAATACAAACAAGTTGTAAATAGAGTTGGGGTAATTTTCACTTCTGACATTATACCAAAAATGTTTAATCATGAGATTACAGATAACTATTTTTTACCTATTTCACATCTCAAATTTTAAAAACACTTTGCCACTCAACAAAAGAATACCTTCTAGATAAAACTTAATACACTTTTCCCATGATCGTAAGTATATGTATATGTCCATATGCTGCTAAACATCTATTATACAAAAATCCAAAATTTTTGCCTTTCAAACGTTTCAAAAAAAGCTCAAGAATAACTATTTGCAAAGAAAGAAATGAATAACTGCAATTTAAAAAAACAGAAAATGCATATAAGAAGTAGCAGCAAAAGAAGAATTTATTAATAGAAGACTAAATATAATGGTATAGCACAACTCAGTAGTATTCCATGTTCTGGATGTTCTGGAATACTAATGAGCTGTGCTACACCATCATCTCCTACCAAGGATACTTTGTTTTATTGCCTTTACACTCAGAAAATTAAATATTGTAGCACTAAAGTACCTTCTGGGAAGATCTTTTAGCATATTTTGACCAATATTGAAAAAGGCTAGGAACAGATAAAATAGAATCTCTATAAAGCAGTAGGCAGATTGATAAAAGCATGCCAAACACAGAACAGGAAGGACGACTAACTCCAGGGCACAGTCAGAAGACAGGAGTACTTCTAAGATTCTAAGATTGTATCTATCCTCCTTGAATTAACTACATGTCTTAACCTCTTTCAAAGGTGAGAGTATGGAATGCAATGTGTGGAATGCTAGATTTCACATATATACTAGTTTCCCCTTCTTGTCCAACCTGTTCAAGATAGTTTTTAGCCCTTAAAGTTATGAATCAATTCCTATTACTAAGGATAATTTATGAAAAACTCTTATTTTATAATCCTACATTTTACATGTGAAAACCTAAATGATGAGTCTTAGCTTTATTTTCTTTCTAATATGAAGAGGACCATGTCAATTTAAATATAGTATTCAACTATAAAGAATATAATCAATGTGATTCTGCAATCTGTATACGAGGTAAAAATGGGAGTTCATAACCCACTTGAATCAAACTGTGAAAAATGATATATCAAGAACTATGTAATGTTTTGAACAACCAACAATAAAAAAAAAAAGAATATAATCAAATTATTCAGGACTATTTTAACAGAAACCAGTTCTAAGACTCTTAATTTGAGAAGTTTGCTGAAAACTAAATGGTCTATAATTTTTAGATAGGATACAGATTAACTCTTTCACATTAGAAGTATTACATGATAGCCAGCCTTGTTCTAAGCAAGTCCTTTTAAGGAACCAGTCATGAGGGTTGGGCCACTCTTGAGGAGATCAAAGGTTTAAGGTAAAAAAGGGAGCCTTTTTATGAAAAGACACAAATAACCCAGGATTAGCCACCAACCAGTGTGGTCAAAGCTAAACCTCAGAACTACCTATGGAATTGCAGCATTTTCCTGGGAAAATAATGGCTTTCCTCCAGTGATGCGCTCTGCTTTTAACCTCAGGTTTCTAACAATACAAATAAAAGACCCTAAAAACACAACTGTAATCACGGCCCCTGAAAACTAAAAAGACTCTTCGAAGTCTTAAGAGTTAATAAATCAGAGGAAGGCACACTGTTGAAAGAAAAGTAAAAAAGATTAAAGTAGTAACACCATCATCTACTTCCTTACCATTCGTTACAGGCTCTAACCCATTATAATGCTAGCCAAAAAGAACTAGACAAACTAGCCAAAAAATTCTCCAGTTAAGGAGAACACTCATTATCTTATTTCACTCATTCTGTAAAATCACCCAAATAGACTACTCAATCTTTTTTTTTTTAATATTTTCAGTTGTAGATGAACACAATACCTTTATTGATTATTTTTTTAATATTTATTTTTATGTGATGCTGAGGATTGAACCCAGTGCCTCACACATGCTAGGCAAGGGCTATACTGCTGAGCCACAGCCCCAACCCCACTACTTAGTATCTTAATCAGTACTTAATACCCTATCCCTAACCTGACAAATTCAACTGCTGTGCCAGTACACTGGCTCACGGTAATCCCAACAACTCAGGCTGAAGCAGAAGGATCACAAGTTCAAAACCAGCCTCGGCATTTGCCAGTAATGGATGGAGCTGGAGAATATGAGGCTAAGTGAAATAAGCCAATACCAAAGATGTTTTCTCTGATGTGCAGATGCTAATTTACAGTCAGGGGAGAGGGGCACTAGGGAATAGATCAGATAGAAGGGAGTGAACAGAAAGAAGGGCATATGGGGATAGGAATGATAGAATGCATCAGACATAATTACCCTATGTGCATAGGATTACACAATCTGTATAACTACATCACGCACAAGAATGAGAAGTTATACTCCATTTCTAAGAGATGCGTCAAAGCATCTTACTATCACATATAACTAACTAGAATACAGAAAATGAACACTGTACCACTTAAAAAAAAAAAAACAGTCTCAGCAACTTATCAACACAGTAACTCAGCAAGACAGTGTCTCTAAATAAAATAGAAAAAATGGGCTAAGGATATAACTAAGTGGCTAAGCGCCTCTGGGTTCAATCCATGGTACCAAGTTTGGTTCCTTTAGGAATCTCTGTTGAGCATACATGTGTACACAGGACCACAGACAGTAAATATTTTAGGTATTAGACCATACGGTTTATGAGTATATGGTCTCTGTCACTACACAAGCTCTCCTTTATAATGCAAAAGTAGCTATAGATAATATATGAGAATGGTTGTGTTCCAATATAACTTTATGTACAATGACATCAGAATTTCATGGAAGTTCAAACTCCATGAAATATTCTTTTGACTTTTTTCCCAGCAATTTAAAACCTCATCGTTAGCTGGGGAGGCAGTAGGGGTAAGATATTGGTCCATGGACACAAAATCTCAGAAAGGGAGAATGAGTTCACCAATATCTATTGTACAACATGGAGACTATAATTAGTAACAAGTGTATTATATACTTGAAAACTGCTGAGCGTAGATTGTGAATGTTCTTATCCAAAAATAAGTATGTGAATGTTATTTAGTTTGATTTAGCCATTCTATAAAAGGAAAAAATATATCAAAACATGTTGTACATTATTTGCCCATTTACATGAATAATAATATATCACTTTAATAAGCAGTGGGTGAAATCTGATCTGATCATACATTATAATTTTAGAAAGCTGACATAAAAAGTAGGGTAACTTCTGTTCTAATCTAACACAAAGGAATTCCAATTAATGAAACTATTAGCTACTATTTAATGAAATTTTAGTATATACTTAGGTATAATAAGCCCTTATATTTTGTATTTATTATAATTCCACACACAAAATTCAGGGCTGGGTTTTTATACTTTAAAAGGTTAAAGAAAAATAATATGTCAGAGACCCTATGTGACCCATAAAGCAGGGCACATATTTACTGTTTGTTGACCCTGTTCTAGACATATATTCTTTTTTTTTTTAGTTGTAGATGGACACAATGTCTCTATTTTATTTATTTACTTTTATGTGGTGCTGAGGACCCAAGCCAGTGCCTCACACATTAGATAGGCAAGTGTTCTACCATTGACCTACAGCCCCAGACCATATATTCCCATTTTACAAATGAAAACAAAAAAAAAACAAAGAAATAATTTATCAATTTGGTAACAGGAACCATAAGTAGCAGAGTTAGCATTTACACCTAGTTTCAATACAAAAGTCCTGTTCTTAACTGCCTTTCCAATTTTATGCTTCAGCCTCAAATTTTCTATTTTTCTTTTGGATTAAGCACCATTTTTCTTTGGTTACAAACTAGTCTAATTGAGCAAGACTAGTTTGGTAAGTCCACCTTATTTTGCTCAATTTCATAGGATTACTACAGGCTGGAATTCCACTAACCTGAACATAAAAACACTCTTCAAAAAAAAATATTCCCTAAAATCAGTATGAAAAAAAAAAGCCCCTTGGGCTGGGGACATAGCTCAGTTGGTAGAGTGCTTGCCTAGCATGCACAAGTAAGTCCCTGGGTTCAATCCCCAGCTCCCACCAAAAAAAGAAAAGCCATTGAAATGGGGGGAAAAATGGCTAAGAACAAAAAAATAATTAGAAGATACACACAGGACCAGAAGTAAAAGTAGTCATCCCTACTAATTAAAACAGAATACTAAGGGCTAGCGGTATAGCTGGGGAGGAGGGGAGAAGAATGCATGAAGTTCTAGGTAAAAATCTAGGGCCAATAAGTAAATAATAAAGATAAAACAACAGGGGCTGGGGTTGTAGCTTAGTGGTATAGAGTGCTTGCCTAGCACGTGTGAGGCACTTGGTTCGATTCTCATATAAATAAGTGAGTAAATAAATAAATAAAGGTACATTGACCACTAAAAAAATACTTAAAAAAAAAAGATAAAACAAAAGACAAGAACATTCACATGCTAATTTGTTACCTATCATACATTTATAATTTCAAACCTGCTAAACAACCCTAGATTAAAAAAAAAAAATCTCTAATACCCACTGTTAGGAGATTAATTACATTATGTACAACTTCAAGACAAACTACTATACAGCCCCCACCCACCTCCCCCATGAGATGTATCTATTAAGTACCATTTACTTCCAAGAATACTAAGCAAGAAGCTTAGCATGGTGGCACACTCCTCTAATTCCAGCTACTCGGGGAGGCCGATCACAAATTTGAGGCCAGCCACGGTCAACTTAGCAAGAGCCTATCTCAAAATAAAAATAAAAACGACTGAGATATAGCTCTGTGGTAGAGCACTGCAGAGTTCAATCTCCCAGAAATGAAAAAATAAATAATAACACGTTAGACTGGCAGTGTTGCTCAGTGTTACAGCACTTGCCTACCACAGACAAGGTGCTGGATTCCATCCCTAGAATGACCAAAAGAAAAAAAAATTAATACTTATAATGTATTGTGGGGGTTTTTTTGAGGGGGTCAGGGGATGTAACAGAGACATGCTAAGTCAACCTTCTCACATATGTGTGATGAAAGTGTATTTTAGGGCTGGGGATGTGGCTCAAGCGGTAGCGCACTCGCCTGGCACACCTGCGGCCTGGGTTCAATCCTCAGCACCACATACAAACAAAGATGTTGTGTCTGCCTAAAACTAAAAAATTAATAAGTAAATATTTAAAAAAAAAAAAAAAGAAAAGAAAGTGTATTTTATTTCAACCTTTTCTGGTAGAAATGTATCTAAAGCTAAGGGAAAAAAATGAACTTGCAATTTCTCTCTCAGGAATTTATCTTAAGAACAATGGCAATATACCAAAAAGGATAACTGTAGCAACACTATTTGGATGTCCTAAATATGTACTTTCAGAATTATAGTATACCTACTGATCATCGTTATACAACATTAAAAAGTATTTATGCTGGGCATGATAGTACACACCTATAATTCCAGTTACTCACTTGTCTCAGGCAGGAAGACTGGGAAGATCGGGGCAAGACTGGGCCACTTAGTAAGACTGTCTCAAAAAAATAAAAAGGATTGGGGATATAGCTGAGTGGTAAAGTTTGGTACTGGGTTTAATCCCTAATACCAAAAAGGAAAAAAATAAAAGTATTCCAGTGTCTGACAGAAGAGTTTGTAGAAAATCCAGAGCAGTTCAGAGAACCACTTTTATTATATTATAAAGGTGTAATATAATATACAACTCTAAGTACTACAATGACACTTATATATACATGTAACATGTACATGGATATCTTCAGATGAATGAAACTACAGCGACTACATTTTTCTTTTGCTTGCATTCTTTGATTTTTTAGGTAATGAGCTTGTTTTAAAACTCATTTTGGGGCTGGGGTATACTTCAGTGGTTAAGCGTTTGTCCAGCAAGCATAAGAGCTTTGATCCCTAGGGCCACCAAGAAAAAAAATATTAAAACTCCTTTATCTTTATAACTACATGATCTGATAAGTTTGCATCTTATCAAATATAAAATAACCAATTTTTGGAATGAGGTTCATAAAAATTTAGATCGTATTTCTTCCTCTAGTTTTTCCTGAACTTCAATCACTTCAAGGAAAGAACAATCACTGAATATTTATAACTATGACCACAACTCATCAATTTAAGTTCTTAGTCAGGTGTGGTGGTGCATAACTGTAATCTCAGCAACCTGGGAGGTTGAGAAAGGAGGAGCACAAGTTCAAGGCCAGCCTCAGAACTTAGGCACTGTCTCAAAATAAAAACAAAAGGGAAAAGTAAAAAAAAAAAAGAAAAAGACTGGAGATCTAGCTCAGCTATAAAGTGCCCCTCAGTTAAATTCCCAGCATGACTTAAAAACACTAAGTTCTTATTAAGCAGAAGAATAAGACCATGGTTCAGAATATAACTATCACTTTAAAACTAGCCTTAACTACTCTTGTACAAAAGAATTCAAAATGGTACCACATGGAAACATACTATAATATGCTGATGCTAAATGGCAGCAATTTTGCAGGGGACACTGACCCTTTCTACCATACATTTTTAAATGTCAAGTCTGGTAGCAGAGGTATTTACAGCATTTAGTGGGTGGAAGCCAGCAATGCTGCTAAATACTTTGAGACCCAGTAAAACTCCCATAGCAAAGAATTACCCAGTCCAATGTTAATAGTGCTGAGTTGGCAGAGCAAGCACATGGCATGCACAAGAGGTCCTGGGTTCAATTTCCAGAACCAAAAAGAAACAAACAACAACAAAAAAAAACCCACTCTTAATGGACCAGTAACCTTTTCAATATACCTCTCCTTTACATTCCCAATATCAGTGAAATCTAAATTTCTTCTCAATAATCACATACAACCAATGGCTTAATTTGGTGTAGAAATTATCTTTCTTCCAAAAATATAAATATCTAAATTTCATCAGTATTTCCTTTTTTCATGGCTTCATACTAAATTCATTTTCACTCATAACTAGCAAAACTCACAAGCCATTTTATGAACTTTCCATCTAGTTATAGTGACCAGCAGAAAAGCTGAAGTTAGGCTGAGCTACAGCTCAGTGGTAGAGTACTTGCCTAGCATAAGAAAGGCCCTGAATTCTATACACAACACAAAAGTGGTTGTTCTTTGTTCTTGGAAGGTTTAGGAATCTTTATTTGCATATTCTCCATTATCTGGGTACTGTCCTGCATTCCTTGTTGTTTCTCCTAATCCTTTTCCTAGTTATTTTTAGACCCAAATTAACTCATATTGTCTCTCCTACCTATATTATTAAGTACTACTACAGTAAGCAGATGCTTTCTTCCTAATGTGAGAATTAAAGTACAAAGAATTATATATGAATAATAATTAAAGATTAGTTTAATTAGCTCTTAACATAAATGAAAACAAAAAAGCAATCAAGCAAATTTTTATATAAATGGTATTAGAAATAATTTTAAAGACAAATGAAAAATGTTGACCTTTTCTCCTTCCAAGTAATATAAAATCTGCAAGGCAATAGTGCTTAAGAACTACTTTAACACATTAAGTGGGTTTTTCCCCCATTCATAGAACTTTTACTCCACTTGCATGAAGTAAATACATGTGTTCCTAACAATTACGCTTAGATTGTTCATGAAAATGTCTTAAGGCATTAAACAAAGCTAGCCATCATCTCAAGTTATTTCCCTGTAACTATTTTTTAGCATGTTAGAGAAGTATCGAGAAATACACATATGTGTGGAAGGCTTCATGAATTTGCATGTCTTCCTTGCTCAGGGGCCATGATAATCTTCTCTGTAACATTCCAATTTTAATATATGTGCTACAAGAGAAGCAAGCACTAACTAGTGTGCCTTTTTTGTTGTAACTTTTATTTCTATTTTCCTTTATGCTTTCTCTATATTTCTATTAAAATTTTAAAAGTTTTAGGATTGTATTTATCAGGGTAATTATTTCTACAGCTTTTCATATGTTAAAGTTAATTTAAACTTAAGATAAGGTCTTACTATGTTGACCAGGCTGATCTAGAACTCCTGGGCTCAAGTAATCCTGCTTCAGCCTCTAGAAATATGAGCTATAGCACCCAATTTGGTTCCCACATTTTCCTAAGTGTCAGTTTACCACATTGGAAAAAAGCACATAAAAATCTGCTTTTTAAGGGCTGAGGCTGTAGCTCAGTGGTAAAGTGCTTACCTTGCATGTGTGAGGAACTGGGATCAATCCTCACCACCACATTAAAAACAAAGATTTTTTTAAAAATCTGCTCTTGAAAATAACTGAACTCTTAATTTTAGATATCTAACTGCACTGTATAAGTAAAGTAGCAAATTTATCTTCATGGGATAGTTTAAAAAGCCAACAAGAGTTAACTTTGAAAATATAGAAATACCCACTCCCCAATTTAAAAGCAAAAATCTTGGGACCATTATAGAAAATTCAGTAGTAAATTAAGTTTTTATAATGAGATCTAAGATCAAAGTAATTTCTAGTTACCTGCTGGCCTTCTAGAAGTATAAAGGTCTACTAATTAGAGCTGCTATAATGCCAATATCCTAGGTCCAAATCAAGAGATCTATAATTAAGTGATCTTTCCTTGGTCTTCAAAACCATGCTGTAGTCCACTAGCACTAATAGATTAAAACAGTGCATCTTCACTAATCTGTAATATTTTATAATGAAAAACCAAGTGTCTGCTCTAAATGTCAGATATAGATGACCACCATTATTTATAATGAAAAACCAAGTGTCTGCTCTAAATGTCAGATATAGATGACCACCATTATTGCTGATACATGAAGTAAAAAGTTTGAAATTTGGGGGCTGGGATTGTAGCTCAGTTGTTGAGCGCTTGCCTCGCATGCGTGAGGCACTGGGTTGGATCCTCAGCACCACATAAAATAAATAAATAAAACAAAGATTTTTTTTAAAAGTTTGAAATTTTGGTAAGTTTCAAATTAAGTTTGAAGGATTCAAATACTCTTTTTTTTAAATTAATATTTATTTTTTTTTTTAGTTTTCAGCGGACACAATATCTTTGTTTGTATGTGGTGCTGAGGATCGAACCCGGGCCGCACGCATGCCAGGTGAGCGCGCTACCGCTTGAGCCACATCCCCAGCCCCCGTCAAATACTCTTGACTGCCTGAAAATTTTTCAAATACAGCTTAAATCATATATATATGAACTTTTAATATGATAAATGTATTTAATATAAATTTGATGTACTACACTGGGACAAAACAAACTTTTATTCTTTCAAGATAGGGACCAATTTAAATTAACACCCATTGTTTTGAATTAGAAGGATTTTTCTCATAGTAATGAAAATATTTATTGTGGTTTAAAAGTATATGAATACACCTTTAAAAATTCAGGTTTACTTATTTAATTTCTGGATTCACTGAAAAATAGTGTCTTTCAAAAAGGCCCTTTTGAATGTACATCCAACTTTAATCATCTTTATCCATAAGACCAAACTGCAGGAGGAAAAACCCATGTTTTCTAATGTCTAAAATCTCTTAGGCATGGTATAATGATTAAACTTTATAGCAGAGCTACACAAGAGATATATAAATTTTCTAGTAATCATATTAAAGTCAAAATTTTAAATATATTTTACTTTACCCATTATTAATTCCATATAATCAATATCTGTTAGTATTTAATAAATGAAATTAACAAAAATTTTATTTTTCTGAACCAAGGTCTCTAAAATCCAATGTCTTCAGTACTTCATGCTTCAACTACTCAACAGCTACATGCAGTAGTAGTGGCTTCTGTACTGAACAGAGTGATTCTAGAGACCAATTTATTGACAAAAATGCAATCTCAGAATCTTCTCCACCCTTAATTACAAATGATTTTTTTAGGCTACTACAAAACATACCAGAGTAAGCTGAGCATAGTGGCAGATGCTTATAATCTCACCATTCAGGAGGCTGAGGCAAAAGGATAGCAAGTTGGAGGCTAGACTCTGCAACTCAGACCCCAACTCAAAATAAAAAAATAAAGGGCTAGGGATGTAGTTCAGTGGTAGAGAGCTTGCCTATTATGCAGAAAGCCCTGGGTTCTATCCCCAGTGACATACACACAAAAGTAGATGTTATAATCTTCATGACTCAATAAGAAATATTGAATGTCAAAATAGTTACATCATTTCTATATGGTCTATGAACTCCCAAAGAGAAGCCCAGACCGTGAATAAAGTACATATTTAAAGTTAAGAAATAAGATAGTCTTTTCTGGAAAGTAAACTCAATACTAAAATAAAGAAAACTCCTGACTAATCTTACATCACCATAGTAATAGCATCGCTTAACAGACAATGCATTCAGAAAGCGTAAAAATCCTATACATGAACAAAATACTTTTTCATGAGAGGCCACCAAATAAGCAATAAGAAAGTTAGTAGTACCTTTGCAAACTTGAAGAACGGTCTTGGATCTTTTCTGAAATATTCAATATCAAACATTGCTTGAGGATCTGGAAGATCAGGGAAGTCTACTGCAAGACGAGCATAAATACCATCTCTTGACCTGAAGTCAGGTATTCCACATGAAACAGATACCTGAAATATGCATGGCATAATTTGTACAATTAACTCTACCTTTATAATTAGTAGCTCTCTTACCATATAATTTTAGAGGAGAGCTGAAAAATAAAGTTTTGGTTTGAAATATTTTGGGGAGAACAGAAATACCACCTTACCCTGATTTCAAATAAAAGTAATAATACCCAAATAAATGAGTCTAATTAAAACTGCCACATATTCTGTTTTTAATGGTGATAATAAGGAATTTTAAATCAGGATAATTTTAAACCTTTAAGCATTTAATGAACAAATTAAAGCAACTGCAATCTTATTGAAAAGGGAATAAACCAATTCAATCATTTAACTAGAAAGCAGGCAAGAATTTCTACCACAATTATTTCCCAAGAAATCGCTTTTATATGGTCAATATCCTACTACCCTCAAGAATACTAAATTCCTGTTTTCTTTAAAAATTATTTTGCAACCACGCATGATGCCATGATCCCAGAGACTCATAAGGCTAAGGCAAAAGGATTTCAAATTTGAGACCAGCCTCAGAAACTTAGGAAGATCATCTAAAAATAAAAAAAAATAAAGAACTGGGGTTATAACTCGGTTTTAACACATCCCTGGGGTTCAATCCCCAATACCACAAAAAATAAACTATGTTGCAAGATGGGCATGGTGGTGTACCCTTATAGTGCCAGCTATGCAGTAGGCTGAGGATAGCTTAAGCTCAGGAGTTTTAGACCAGCCTGGGCAACACAGTCAGACTCCATCTTAAAAAATAAATAAAAAACTACATCGCATTATATTTCAGCTCCTAATTTTTTTAAATATTTTTTAATTGTTGATGGACCTTTATTTTATTCATTTATTTATATGTGGTGCTGAGAATTGAACCCAGTGCCTCACACAAGGGAGGCAAGTGCTCTCCAACTGAGCCACAACCACAGCCCGCTCCTAATTTTTAAAAAATAGATTTAGACACTATGTTTATTCTACAAATAAACCCTGACATTTCAAACAGAGGATTCAAAACACACACACACACACATTTGGTATTGAGGATTGAACCTATTGGCAATTTTACTACTGTGCTACATCACCAATCCTTTTTTTAAAATTAATTATTCTAAGAAAGGTCTTGCTAAATTTTTTAGGCCAGCCTTGAACTAGTAATACTCCTGCCTCAACCTCTTAAGTCATTGGAATTATAGGCATGTGCCACAGCAGCACTATACTAAAATTTTAATTTTATAATTTTACTAGAGTTGACTTCACCTTGACCTCAGAGTAAAACAAACTTATCAAAATCACATCTGTGGGGCTGGGGATGTAGCTCAAGCGGTAGCGCGCTCGCCTGGCATGCGTGCGGCCCAGGTTTCATCCTCAGCACCACATACAAACAAAGATGTGTCAGCCGATAACTGAAAAATAAATATTAAAAATTCTTTAAAAAATCACATCTATGAACAAAATCTAACTATCCTGGGACTTGAATGTAGCTCAGTGGCAGAGCACATGCTTACCATGTTTAAGGCTCAATCCCCAGCAACAAGAACTTAAACAAGAACCAGCTGGGGCACAGTGGCACTCGCCTGTAATTCCAACAGCTCAGGAGGCTGAGGCAGAAGGATCACAAGTAAAAAGTTAACCTCAGCAACTTGGCAAGGCCCTAAGCAACTTAGCAAAACCCTAAGCAATTTAGCAAAACCCTTTCTCAAAATTTAAAAAAAAAAAAAAAAGGATGAGGGTAGGGGGTGGGGCAAGGCTGGGGATGTGGCTCAGTGGTAAAGCATCCCTGGGTTCAATCCCTAATACCAAAAAAAAGTTAACTATTCTTGATATTATTTAATAACAATCGTTCACAACTAAAAATGATAGAAAACTCACACCTATAATCCCAGCAATTTGGGAGGCTGAGGCAGGAGGATCATGAGTTCAAAACCAGCCTCAGCAACTTAGTGAGGCCCTAAGCAACCTAGCAACATCCCGTCTCTAAAATATAAAAAAAAGGGCTGGGGATGTGGCCCAGTGGTTAAGTGCCCTGGGTTCAATCCCCAATACCAAAAAAAAAAAAAAGAAAGAAAGAAAGAAAAAGAAAACAGGACTGAATTTTACTCCTACAGTTGCTCTGGTTGCTAACACACAATGTACTCTATTCAACACATAATACATAACGGTCTTAGGTAAAGTCAAATGAAAAACGTCAAATTACCACAATCCTACAATAGTAGAGCACATGACTTATGTGTGAAGCCCCGTCCAAACCCCAGTACTGCTAAATAAATAAATAAATATAAATGTAAATAAAATTAAAAATGACCTGCCCCCCACCAAAAAAAAAAAAAAAAAATCACCATAATCCTATCATTTTCAAATGACAAAAAGAGGAATCTGTTACCTTCCCAACACTAAGTTTTTCATTTGTGAACATCAATTACATTTCTGATTTCTCCATGAAGACTGACCAAATAAACAGCATCTCCACCTAGACCCTGACTTACCATAACAAAAGCAGAATCACAATTCCCTGCATCTCCCTGAAGAGCTGTGGTATAATATAGGCCCCAAAAAAATCTTGTCTTAACTCCCATTACCTACTATGCCATAGATAGAAGCAAATATTTTTTAAAGGCTGTTTGTTAGAGAGATTTTTCAGAGTCTTTTCTCAAAAACTGAACCAATTTAGCAACTGCACTGCACTCAGATTTTGGCAGTTTCCAAACATCCATTCTAATTAAGGATGAATTCTTCTAAACCAGAAAAAAAGTTCCTTAATTAGAAAAAGAATAAGATAAAACTACCTCTTCCTTTTATAGGTGTTTTATACATCTTACATACCCCAGCTCCAGTTAGAACTATTATTTTTTTGCACTCTTGCAGTAATTTCACAGCATCTTCAATTGTATTAATATCTTTTCTTTTTTTCCTTTTTGGTGGTTCTGAAAGGATATTAATAACAATCTGCCACAGTGTCATATCATCCAATTCAGGTGGAGGAATTGTTTCCGGTAGTAAATCTTTAAGAATTGTTCGAGGATCTGTGCCAATCATGAGATGTTGCTGAACAAAAGTATATGGACCTATGTTAAGAAGAAAAAGATTCAGGTCAAATCTACTTCCAAGAAACTTTTAAAAAAATCTCAATTTTCTGAAATAATGCATTAGTAATCTCTAAGGTTATTTTGCAAAGAAAGAAAATGCAACTTATTTTCTTCTCAAGATACCCTTAATGCTATATACCAATGAGATTAAGAAGATCAAGAGTTAGTGCCCTCTTAACCTATAAATATGTATTTCAAGAGTCAAACTGAGGGACGGAGAGGGTCCAGTGGTAAACATATGGTTTAGCATATACCAGGCCCTAGGTTCAAACCCCAGCATCAAAAAAATTTTAAGATGAATTAACTAAGTTTTTATGGTTAAAATCTAAAATCATTCACTACAACTTATAACAAAACCATTTACAAAGTTGTTCTATAAATCATTATAGAAAAGACTCTACCAATCCTAAAAGTCCATGTTATTTATCAGGGACATAGAAAAAAAAAGTCTAGGCTATAGTTGTAGCTCAGTGTTAGAACACCTGCCTAGCATATGAGGCACTGGGTTCAATCCTCAGGACCACATAAAAATAAATAAATAAATAAAAGTATTGTGTCCCTCTACACAATACTTGTATTTATTTAAAAATAAATAAAAACTTTTTAAAAAATCTGTATGTAAATAACATTTTAAAAATTTTTTCCATTATCAACCTTCAATTTGATCTTTACCAGTCTCCCAAGATGACTCATACAATGTTTATGTTTTTTAAATATTAATTATTCTTTCACCCTGAAGTTGCTCAGATCAGATTCCTAGCTTGAGAAAATAAACAATATCAACATTAAAAAGGAACTAACTGGTCATCACTATGTTTAGTCAAGGCATCTGAAAAAGCTAGAGTACCAAAATATTTTAAAAATCACTTTTTAAGATGGTTATATTACATCTTTGGTATAAAAATCTGATATTGCAGGGCTGGGGGCATAGCTCAGTGGTAGAACATTTACCTAGCATGTGCAAAACTCTGGGCTTAATCCCCAACAAGAGGCAGGGAGAGAAGGAAAGACAACTTTCCCATTCTCTAATTTTGTAAATACTTACTAAGCACAAACTATGTATAAAGCATCATACCTACATTGACACAACAGTAGTTAAAGAAACTCAAAAACCCCTGCCTGCGAGTGGAACCACCATTTGACCCAGCTGACCTCTCTCCTCAGTCTATACCCAAAGAACTTAAAAAGAGCATACTATAGGGACAAAGCCACATCAATGTTTATAGCAGCACATTTCACAATAGCTAAAATGTGGAGCCAACCTAGATGCCCTTCAATAGATGAAGGGATTAAAAAAAAAAAGAGGCATATATATACACAATGAAATTTTACTCAGCAATAAAAGAGAATAAAACCATGGCATCTGCAGGTAAATGGATGGAGTTAAAGAGAAGATAATGCCAAGTGAAGTTAGCTAATCTCAAAAAAACAAATTCTGAATGTTTTCTTTGATATAAGGAGGCTGATTCATAGTGGGATAGGGAGATGGAGCATGGGAGGAATAGACAAACTCTAGATAGGGCAGAGGGGTGGGAAGGGTAAGGGAGGGGGCATGGGGTTAGAAATGATGGTGAAATGTGATGATCATTATTATCCAATGTACATGAATAAAGGAATTGGTGTGAATATACTTTGTATACAACCAGAGATATGAAAAATCGTGCTTTATATGTGTATATATGTAATCGTGCTCTATATGTGTATATGTGTAATAAGAATTGTAATGCATTCCACTGTTATTTTATATATATATATATCTCCTGCCTCTGTGGAGCTTGTATTCAAGCACAAGAAGCATCACTGAAAACACCAGGTTTAGAACTTGTTAAAACCTGTTAAGTAGGTTGGGAGTATAGCTCAGTTGGTAGAGTGCTTGCCTTGCATGCACAAGGCCCTGGGTTCAATCCCCAGTACCACAAACAAAAA